TTCCATACTCTGTTTCTATAAATTTCACTATGCTACTCATAAGTAGAATCATGCAGTATTTGTCCTTCTGTGACTGGCTTATTTCATTTAGTATAATGTTCTCCAGGTTCATCCATGTTACAGTATGCATCTGAATTTTATTGTTTTTTAAAGCTGATGTATGTATATACTACATTTTCTTTCTCCATTCACTTGCTGATGGCTATTTAGGTTGTTTCCATATATTGACTATTGTGAAAAATGCTTCAATCAACACAGGAGTACTGGTATCTCTTCAACATACTGATTTCATTGCCTTTGACCATATATTCAGAAGTGGTATTTCTCAAACACATATATGGCACTTATATTTTAAATTTTTTTGATAAAGCTAAATATTGCTTCTAGTAATGGCTGTATGATTTTATATTCACATCAATAGTGTACAAGGATTCTGATTCCTTCATGTCCTTTTGAACATTTGTCTTTTTAAAAAAATAATAGACACCCTCATAGGTATGAAGTGATATCTCCTTATGATTTTGATATACATTTTCATGATTAGTGATGTTGAACATCTTTTCATATACCTGTTGGCCATTTGTATGATTTCTTTGGAGAAATGTCAATTAATGTCATTTTTCCATTTCAATTTTATTATTTGTCTTTTGCTGTTGAGCTGTATAATTGTTCATATATTTTGAATATTAATTTTAAATGAAATTTCTTAATTTATTTACTGTAATAAAAATAACATTAATCAAGAACCTTCTTTTTCATCTTTAAGGTTAAGAGTATATGATTTTAAGTTCCTTTCTTATTTTCCACATCATCTAGAAAAACTTGTTTTTATCACCATGTCCAAATTTAAGCAGATTCCTAGTGTCAAGGATGAATACCAGATTAACAAGAAAATTTCTTCCTTCTAAAAATATGCCAATATGTTGACCTGAATTGCGCATCTATTTTGAGTGCGCTGTATATAAGAAATCACAGTATGTACCCGAATATTCAGTGTCTAGGTTTCTCACTATTTATTAGAAGCAATTCATTCATATAAAAGGTTCATTTAAATGCTACTGTGACCAGCATTTTTCCTGACTCTGAGACCATAGATCTGAGAAAACTGGAGAGCTCCTGTGTTTCCTGGGAGTCATTTTTCACCTTAGTGGCCTTGTCTCTGCAGTCTCATTAGAAGGTACTTCTGCTTTTCTTTAAATGCTACTGTTGTACAGAGTTCTGCACTAAGACCTCTTTTCCTTAAGATTTATTACTCCACAGCATTTTCCCACTGCTGTGATTTCAAGCGGACATTAGCCTGACAACACTTATGCCTCATTATCAGGGCAGAAGTCATTTCTCCTGGGATACAAATGTCGGTACATTTTTCAGTTCTTGGGTAGAAAGTTACAGAAGAAAAAGTGAGCCTTATTTTTCAGTTGAGGTCTAAGGGCTAAGTCCAAACCCAAAGAGTTTGTTTTATTTTGTTTTAGCTCCCAATTAAAAAAAAAAAAACTAAAAATTTTGTTGGTGCATTATAATTATACAAATTAGTGGGATTTGTTTTAACACATTCCTACATGCACAATACTTGCTAAAGTTTAGATCTTTAATGTTCAAGGCCCGTGTATTAAAGACAGTCTCCAGAGTGATGCTGTTGGGAATTGTGGAACCTTTAAGGAGTGGAGCCTAGTAGGAAGTTTTAGGTCACTGGGGGATTGTTCTCAAAGGGAATTGTGGATCCTTGGTCTTTTCCTCTTTCTCTCTAATTCTTAGTGCCCATAAGGTGAAACTTTTGCCCTACCATATGATTCTACCATGATATGCTGCCACAGTCCTAAAGTAATGGAGGTACCCAATCACGTACTGAAACCTCCACAATTGTGAGGCCAAATAAACCTTTCCTCTTTATAAGTTGATTACCTCAAGTATTCTATCACAGTGACAGAAAGTTGACTAACACAGAAAACTGGCATCAGGAGTATATTCATTGCTGATGCAGCTGATGATTTGACAGAGCCTTTGGTATTGGTTTGCTTGATGAATTTAGAAAAATTTGAAGATCAGGCTAGAAAAAAATGTAGAATGTTGTAATCAAAACTTAAGCAGAGATTTTGATGAGGACTCAGAAGTCCAGAATATTGATAGAACTGCAGACAGAAAATGATTGCTGAGATTTCAGATGGAAATGAGGATTCATTGGGAATTGAACTTACAGTCACCAGTATTAGGAGTGGCAAATATTTTGAATGCATTTTATTCTTCTGAAACTTAATGGGAGGCTGAGTTTAAAGTGACCTAATATATTTTGGAGGCTGAGATGGGAGGATCACTTGTACCTAGGAGTTCAAGACCTGCCTGGGCAACATAGCAAAACTCCTGTCTGAAAACAGCAGCAACAACAGCAACAAACACAACACCCGAAGAGAAGTAAAGAAAAATAAAGATAAAACTAAATATGACCTACTTATTTATCTGCCAGATGGAATTTTAAGACAGCATAGTATTCAGGAAGTGGCATGGATCTCACTGTCTGCTTTTAGCCAAATTTATAGTGAGCATTGGAAGCAGAAAGGAACAGAGCAAATGAATTTAGAAACTTTACAGTTTGACCAGAAAAGGAACATATTTAAAGGAGAATTAAATGAGGGTGCAATTGCTGAAGAGATTAGTGCCTTTAAGAAGGAGCCACATGCTTTTCACAAGCATAATAGGGAAGATGCCTTGAGGGTGTTTCCAGAATTAACAAGACTCCATACATCAGAAGTTCAAAAGCATAAAAATGAAAATTTGATTCAAAGACTTTCCAGGGAAAATTCTTTGGAGAATAGAGCTGTGGAGTTCCCTGAGTCCTTAGGGCTGCCTTGAGAAATCTGTGGACAACAAACTCATAGGCCATTGCTGCCATGGTTCACATGGGCCCAGGTACAGCTTGCACGGGTGGCAGATGTTGGCATCATTCATGAGTAGATGATTTTCAGGCAGGCAGATTCCAAGTTACAGGTCATGGAGGTTTCTGATGACATTTCAGAGAAGACTTTGGAGACGAGGAAGTGTGTGGCAGGGTTGGAGTCCCTGAAAGTGGTCCCTGAGAGGATGTGTGGGGCTGCAACAGTGAAGCTGAAGCTGCAATGGAGAACCCAGGAAGGAAGAAATGTCAGGTTTGAAGAATGCCTGCATGCTGCATGCAGAGCTGTCCTAAGAGAGTAGCCATATAGGCTGCTATAGAGGCCATAGAGGCAGGGCACCCCAAGCACTCAGGTATATACATCCTGCTAAAATGTGCTTTGGATACTTTAAGATTTAATGTTTGCCTTGCTGGGTTTCAGTCTTGCTTTGGCTCAATACTTTAGCAGTATTAATTCTGCATATCCATGAACTTGGGAGGTCCTTCCATTTTCTTGTGGCTTCTTCAATTTTTTCCCCAGTATTTTGTAGTTTTTATTGTAATGTCTTTCACATCCTTAGCTTTATTTTTTTCAGGCTATTGTGAATGAGAAAGTTTTCTTGATTTCTTAACCAATTCATTATTGGTGTATAGCTGTTGTTTTGTTGTATGTTGATTTTCTAAACTGCTACTTTGCTGAATTTATTAGATCTAGCCATCTTCTGGTGGAGCTTTTGCATCTTCTAAGTATAGACATCTCATCTGCTGTGATAATTTGACTTCTTTCTTTCCTATTTGTATCCTTTTATGTCCTTGTCTTGCCTAATTGCTCTGGCTAGAATTTCTACTACTATATTGAATAGGAATGTTGAGAGTGGACATGATTGTCTTATGCCTGATTATAGAGAAAATATTTTCAGTTTTCCCCCATTCACTATGATGTTGGCTTTGGATTTGTGATATACAGCATTTATGATGCTGAGGTAAGTGTTTTCTATCCCTAGTTTCTTCAGTGTTTTTACCATAAATAAGTGCTGAATTTTTTCAGAAGCTTTCTCTACCTTTATTGGGATGACAATGTCAATGTGAATTTTGTCCTTATTTATATTTATATGGTGAATTATATTTATTAGATTTCATGTAATAACTATTTTGGCAATCCTGGGGTAAAACTGACTTCTTAATATGTTGTTGAATATGATTTGCTAAAGTTTTATTAAGGATTTTTGCATCTAAGTTCATCAGCAGTGTTGGTCCAGAGTTTCTTTCCTTTTCTTTTTTTTGATGCACCCTTATCTGGTTTTGGCATAAGGGAATTTATTGGCTTTATAGAATGAATTTAGAAGTGTTCTGTCCCTTTCTATTTCATGGAATAATTTGAAGAGTATCTACAGCCATGTTTATTGCAACACAATCCAAAATAACCAAACTATGGAATCAACCTAGGTGTCTAACAATGGATGAATGGGTAAAGAAAATGTGGTGTATATATACACAATAGAGTTTTATTCAGTCATAGTAAAAGTAAAATTATGCGATTTACAACAAAATGGGTGGAACTAGAGACTAATATGTTAAGTGAAATAAACCAAACTCAGTTGGGCGCAGTGGCACATGCCTATAATCCCAGTGGCTCAGGAGACTGAGGCAGGAGGATCACAAGTTCAAAGCCAGCCTCATCCACTTAGTGAGGCCCTAATCAACTTAGCAAGACCCTTTCTCAAAAACAAAAAAAAAAATTAAAAAGGGCTGGTGATGTGGCTCAACAGTTAAGTGTCCCTGGGTCCAATCCCTGGTTAAAAAGAAAAACAAAACCAAACCAAACAAACATAAAAACAAAACAAAACAAAAAAACAACAAAAGCCCAACTCAAAAGGTCAAGAGTCCAAAATTATATGTTTTCTGTCATATGTGGAAGTTAGGAAAGAATGTAAAAGAAAGGTGGCTGGGTGGAAATCTCATGATCAAAGGGAGATCAGGAGAGGAAAGGGACCAGGAGATAACTGTTAAAAGGACATGGTTAACTAATGATCCTGTAATTGTATGGTATGTACCTGACAGTGAGAACATTTTCTTCCCTTTTATTATAGGGTATGGTCCTTTTTCCCAAGGGTATCTGCTTCCTTTGGTCACCATGCCACCCTTCAACCAGAGCATTTTCCATCCTGCTGTCTTCTTCCTTACTGGCATCCCTGGTCTTGAAGCCTCTCACATCTGGATCTCCATCCCATTCTGTTGTCTGTATGCCATTGCCGTCTCTGGGAATGGCATGATCCTATTTGTCATCATCACTGAGTCGAGCCTCCATGAGCCCATGTACTATTTCCTCTCCATGCTGTCCTTCACAGACCTAGGTTTGTGTCTATCCACACTGGTCACCATGCTGGGTATTTTCTGGTTCAATGCTCGAGAAATCAGCTTTGACACCTGCATTAGCCAAATGTTCTTTATTCATGGCTTCACGTTCATGGAGTCCTCGGTACTCCTAGCAATGGCCTTTGACCGCTTCATTGCCATCTGTAACCCTCTGCGATATTCCATGATCTTGACCAATTCGAGGATCATCAAAGTGGGTTTTGCAATCATTATCAGGGGCACAACAGCCCTAGTGCCTTTGCTCCTGCTCCTTAAGCGTCTGTCTTTCTGCCACAGTCATGTGCTCCACCATTCCTATTGCTTCCACCCTGATGTGATGAAGCTTTCATGCACAGACACAAAGATAAATAGTGCATTTGGCCTGGCCATTGTCATCTCTACCGCTGGTCTGGACTCTGTGTTAATCCTTCTCTCCTACGTTCTGATCATCCGCTCTGTGCTCAGCATTGCATCCGTAGAGGAGCGGAAAAAGGCTTTTGGAACCTGCATCTCCCACATCAGTGCTGTTGCCATCTTCTATATTCCCATGATCAGCTTGTCTCTGGTGCATAGATTTGGGAAGAATGCCCCTCCTATTGTGCACACTCTCATTGCCAATGTTTATCTGCTCATCCCTCCTGTAATGAATCCCATAATCTACAGTGTGAAGACAAAACAAATTCGCAAGGCCGTGCTTAAACTATTTATTCCCAAGGTAGTTTAGGCAAGTTTTAGAGTATCCCACTTTTGATTTTTTTCCCTTAACTATGATTTATTATTTGCTAGTGTGAGTTACCACTATACTTTGAAAAAAATCTATAAATTCATGTTTTTTTTCTTCTGATGATAAATTGGTTTACTATTTACACAGTTTTAGATTATGGATTCTTTGAATTCAGGAACTTCATCTTGGGTCCTTCTGACTATGTGATACTCCACCTGGACCAGTATAGGACTATGATTAAAATTGTCTGTAAATATGGACAAATGAATTCATGCTTTATAGGTCCAGACTGTCTCAGTCCTTTTAGAGTGTGTAGCTATTCAAGATATGCCCCATAATATAGATGAATAAGAACAGGATTGCTTTCAGTAATTCCTATAGTTTATTAGTAATGATTATTGTTACCCAAATAAATAATTAATGACTGAGGAATTCATATAAGTGCAATAATTAAGAACAAACATGAAGAAATACTTTCCTAATTCTTATAAGAATCCTTGGAATTACTCTGTAAATGGATTAATATTTTAATTATATAAGTGACTCATCATCTAAATATGTGGCTAAAGGAAAAAATCACTCTGATTTTATCAGTACAACTGTACACATATATTGAATTCTCATACTGTGCCTCATTAATATATAATTATATTAATTATAACATAATTATTACCACTAATCAAAATTTTTAAATGTTTAAGGAGATATAAAGTCTAAACACTGGTTTGAATATTACACATTGTATATTTGTACTGAATTATCACACTATATCTCCAAAATATAGACAATTAAAATAATAATTAATAGGATATAAATGAATTTTGTAATCACTGGATTCTATTTAGTTGTGAGGTCTGGAGGTAAGAGACTCAGTTCCTTATCTGCATCATCTATGCAAAGATCTGAAATTATTAGATATGTAAAATGCTTCATGAAAGAATAAATAAAGAATATTTTTTGTTCTGGGTGAAGCATAAATAAAGAGACTTCTAAGAATTTTATAGAACCCACCAAAATAGTATTGTAAAAAGACAACTTTATCACATGGAATTTATAGTCTGTGGGGATGAGGGGTGAGCTCATGGAAATAACAGTTGTTATTGTTTCCAGGTTTTTACAAATTTAATTCAATTTTATCAGGAAACAGATGAAAGAATAGAATACTGGTTCCTTCATGGAAACTATAAAAGTAGAGTAGACATAATGAAGTTAAGGGGATAGAAGCCACAAACTTGAAGGAACCCATGGGAGCACCATACTCTGAGGCTGCAAAAAGCCCCCCCAGGAGTTTGCTGATTAAGAGATGTTAGGCAACCTGAGACCTGACCCCTAATATAAACCACCCATTCCTGAGCAACACACTTCTCTGCTTCTCAGGTCCCTTCCTGGAAGAGAAATCAAGAAAGAGCACATCTCTACCTTGTGTAAGTGAAATTGCTGCATTCAGGGGAAACATTAAGCTCTTTCTACATTCTCTTTCTTTTAAGAATCTGGAAGGCTTTAGTAACTTCAAAGAGCTCTCCTGGGTGCCTAAGAAAAATTGTGGGAAGTTCTTTCCTGAAATCTCTATTTTATGAGGCACCTTATTTAACCCAGGAGGCTCAGTTGTTCTACGTGCCATTTTTCTTTCTGCTTAAAGCAGCTTAATATATCCATGCCAAGTGTGAGTTTTCAGTTAGTTGTACCACATTTTAAAGTTGTGACCTAAGGTAAGCTTCCACTGTCCCCACCATCCACAGCTACCATCATTTTCACCTTCATCACCACTGTTCATATTCTAAGAAGTAGTCAGCATATGAGGTGATTTCCAAATGATAATCTTATTGAATCTTTCCATGCCAGTGGTGAGCTACCAATTTCAGAGACTTGGAATCTGATGCAAAGTGCTCATTTAAAGAGCTCCATCTTGCTGGGTTCAGAGACAGAAGTTGACCCAGGTTTGCCTGATCTTATAATCATACTGCTGACTCCATAATCAAAGAAGAGAGAGAAGTCAAGTTCAAAGAAGAGAGAGAAGTCAAGTTAGCTCTGCACAGAACAGACATATTATTATCATATGAAGCGAAACACTTTCAATAATTGGGGGAGCATGCCAAAGTTTATCCTCCTATGACAGGGAAGAGTTTTTCATCAAAAACCCCAATAGGAACACACACACACACACACACACACACACACACACACACACACACACTCACGTACACCTCAGTTTATGGAAATGGAGGAAAGCTTGGTGATATGTAATTTCAGGCCCTGCAGCCTGATTTAAACAAATGAAACTGCAAAATGTTGAAATCTGAGATGTTTCTAGAATCCTTGCTCATCTTGCAACTCTTGGATTAGAATTATTTTGAAAACATACATTACCTGTTCACAATGTTCCAGATAAAGTGCAGTACCAAGATGTGATGTTGAATGAGGAATGATATAAATAATTTGGTTAGAAAGGCATATTTCCAAATAACTCATTGTCACACCATGAAACAACCCCTATTCTAGATATATAAAATGCTATCAGTTCAGAGGAAGACAGTTTCTTTTGACTTGATTTAGTTAGTAAGGGTGATGCCACTGTTTGCTTCCTAAAATAGACAAATTCATAATAAATTTATATGTGGTTCTGTAAATCAAAGAGTGAATAATAAAGAAAAGGAACATACATGAATAATTGCAAAGCACACCAGTGTGAAAGAACTTCCTCTATTTGATATTGTGGTGATATAAGGAAAAAAACAGGTTGAATATATCACAATGTTTCTTGAGGTATTCAAGCAGGAAGGTCATTATGGATGTAGACATTAATCAGACTGAGAAAATATTTTTGGCTGGGATAAAAAGATAGAGTCTGACTTTATGCTGAAGTCAATGAAGGGTTGTATGAGGAATATGAGGATGTATTTTCTAAACATGTTACCAACATTCATGAAAGGAAGGTCCAAAAACCTTTGAAACATAGTGAAGTGAAATTACTTATGCACATATTAATGGACATCCTGAAAAAAACTGATGAGAGTTTCATGTAAAGTAATGGTGATGGAACTGGAGGATAAATATAATTATCCCAGGGACATTGCAGAAGTTGAATCTATGAACATTTGGTTATTGCAATGCCTTGGCAGCTGTAGTGGGCAGAATTCTCACAGCACCTCAAAAATTAATACTCATTGTGGTGCATTTGCATGAATGTTAACCATCACTTTAATATTACTGGGGCCTCTGAGTGTGGTGGGATATCATTTGTGTGAGTATGTGTCAAAAGGTTTTATAGATGCAAATAAAGTCTCTTATTACTGAACTTCATCTAAATTGAAAAGAAGAGTATGCTGAGTGTGTTTGACCTTAACAGGAGCCTTTGTAAGAGGCAAGGAGTAGCAGAGAGATTCCCTGTTGGATTTGAAGAATTACCATATAATTGTGGTAAAGACTACACAAGTAAGACTGAAAGCAGCCTCTAGGAGCTTAGAGCAACCTCCAGTCCTCATCCAGAAAGAAATCAGACCCCAGACCTGCACCACAAGGAACGGAATGCTGTCAATAATCTTGCATGAGTTTGAAAGAGGACCCTGAATTTTAGATGAGGGCACAGACCTGGTGGCAACCTCTGACTCAACCTTGTGAGATCCTGAGTGGAGGATCTCATTTGGCTATGCTTTGACATTGTACTTACAGAGCTAAGGGATTTAAAAAAAGGGGCCTTGTGTCAAGCGATTAAAGTTTTAGTAATTTTTTGTAGCCATAAGTGACTAATGCAGCAGAGTATGTTTCCATCAACAAGAGAAGCCAGACTTCAAGTTTATATATGAACCATTGAAGAGGTTTAAATGATGAGTTCAGACAACTCGTGTTTTGAGTGGTGGTGGAGGATAGAGACACATGTAAGAGTGACATGGGTTCAGTGGCAAGTTGAGGTTGTTATTTAGTTATGTTTAGGTTCAGGAAGAAATCGGCACATCCATGTAGACTGTAGTTCTGGTACCAATTCCTTGCTCTTTTGAATGTGGCAAGATAATTCCATACTTAATCCCTATTTCCTCTTTTTTTTTTTAACTTGTTCTCTTTAGTTATACAGGGCAGTAGAATTTATTTTGATATATTTTTTACAGGCTTGTAATGTATTTTATTCTAATTAGGATCCATTCTTGTGTATGCACATGATGTTGAGATTCACTGTGGCATATACAAATACGTACATAGGAAAGTTACGTGAGATTCATTTCACTGTCTTGAACACTACCTTTCAGTAGTTTGCATGTCACACTGTAGTGGTATTTCTAACATATCTGGAACTCCATTGCCTGTGGATATACTTAGATTTTTTTTCACGATGGTTTCCACCTTTCAGCCTCTGCACAGCAATTCTTTGCCTACTCAAAGAAGCCTTTTGATGCCTCCACATACAAGTTTCTAATATGTGCAAACTCTGTACTTTAAACATAATCTCTCTGTTTACATGTTTATTTACACATTTGTTTACTGAACTCCCCCAGTTTTTTCTTACTTTCCTTAAGGGTATTATCTGATTTGGTTCCTTCCCCTTATTCTGAATTATGGCTTATACTATGTAATAATTGATGTTAAAATAACTGAGTCAACATCGATAAAGAACCTAGATAGAAGGGCTATAAGGAGAGGAGAAAATGTTCTTTAGATGAATCCAGAACAATGAAAAAAATATAACTCTGGAGAAAGAAGAGACCAAATTAGGAGGAAATGTTAACCAAAGACCATTGTACAGTCTGACTTTGAGCATATTTCCATCATTCTAAGGCTGTCAAATGGAAGGACAAGTAAATGAGTGAAGAAGGGTTAGGAAGAGACATATAGGTAAGAGATGACTGAGAAATGTTTGGGTAATTTTTTAATATTTATGTTTAATATTTGGTGAGATTTAACCATAGTGATGTATCTTCTTGACTTTTTAACATATAATAATTTTAATTCTTTCAATGATCCTATGGGATATGCATTAAGAAATATATGTTATATAAGAGATAAGGACCATACAGTTTAGTAATTTTTCTCTGATAAACCAGCTTGGATTTGATAGAGCATTTGTATCAAATCAAAATTTAGACTATGCAGTAATAGTAAAATTGACTTCTGATCGAGGATAAAAATCATAAGCTCTCCATAAAATTTATATTGGAGATCCTCTAAGCTCAAGTGATTCTATTGTAATTGTGTTAATTGTTGATATTTGCAATCATATAAAATTATATAGTTACAGTTCAAGTATTTTCAAAAACATGCTACTGAAATTGTTGCATGTATTGTTTATCATTCTAAATTTCATAGAACTGTTCACCCATATTTCAACCAGTAACATCTGACTGCCCTATGACATGAATTCTGGAAATAATCTCCAAAATTCCAGCCTTAGCACTCATAAGACATGTAGAGTTATATTAGTAATGTGTGCTTCATTTGTTTCTGAAAAAATTCTGTATCCTCATGTAATTTTGCAATAACTCTTTTCTGCTCCTTCATTTGATGTAGTTTAATAGTTTGCTTTGCAAAACCAGATTTCATGAGCTCTTTGTATAACATAAGTATTGGCTTTTAGAAATGTTCATCTGGGCAAAATTTAATTTCAGGTTGAATGCATAATAAATACAGTTTATCATTGCAGGACACACCTTAAGATTTTGTTGTTTGAGTTCCATATGTCAAATTCCCAAAACTTCACATCTTCTTCCATCATTTTCCTGCTTACTGGCGTTCCTGGGCTGGAAGCCTTTCACATCTGGATCTCCATTCCCTTCTGCTTTCTGTATGCAACTGCCCTCTCAGGGAACAGCCTGATTCTCTTCGTCATTATCACGCAGCCCAGTCTCCACGAACCCATGTATTATTTCCTCTCCATGCTGTCCACCACAGACCTTGGGCTGTCCATATCCACTCTGGTCACCATGCTGGGCATATTCTGGTTCAATACCAGGGAGATCAGCTTCAATGCCTGCTTGTCACAGATGTTCTTCATTCAACTCTTCACTGTCATGGAATCTTCAGTACTGTTGGCTATGGCTTTTGATCGTTTTGTGGCCATCTCTAATCCCCTTAGGTATGCTTCTGTCCTAACCAATCTTAAAATAGTGGTGATTGGTGTAGCAATTATCACCAGGGGGACCCTTACTCTTACAATTATGGTGGTACTTCTTAAAAGGTTGTCCTATTGCCGTAGCCACGTGCTCCTCCATTCCTATTGCTTCTATCCTGATGTAATGAAGCTCTCGTGCACAGACACCAGGATCAACAGTGCAGTTGGGTTGACTGCCCTGATCACCACTGCTGGAGTGGACTCAATCTTCATTGTGCTTTCCTATGTTTTGATCATTAGGACTGTCCTCAGCATTGCTTCCCCTGAAGAGAGAAGGAAAGCCTTTATTTAGTACATGTGTCTCCCATATTGGGGCTGTGGCTGTATTCTACATTCCATTGATCAGTCTGTCCTTTGTGCACAGATTTGGAAAAGGAGCCCCACCTTATGTATATACCTTGATTGCCAATGCCTACCTGCTGATCCCTCCTGTGATGAACCCCATTATCTACAGTGTGAAGACCAAACAGATACGCAAGGCTGTGCTGAAAGTTTTCCATTCAAGTGTGACAAAGACCTAGATGGTTCTTCTAAAATTTTCTCTAGTGTTTGTTATTGTATGGAAGAGTAAAATACCTGTCAGAAAGTTAAAGTGATGCTGTGTTGAAAATTTCCCAAAGACTAACTTTCATTATGTAGGAAGTTTGTTAGCTAATAGAGTTTGATATGAAGTGAGGTTTTAATTGGTTTAACTAATATCTTAAAATATTCACAGGGATAATAAAATCATTTTAAAATTCAAGATGAAAGACATAGTTAGCCAATGACTCAACTTAATTTTCATGCATACAACTATTTTTTTTTAAATACAAGAAGTAGAATGTCTATTGACTCATTCAAATTTTGCCTTACTGTGAGAAATGGCATCACTCCAATTCATAAATAAGAATAAAAATTGTATTAACAATTCTGAATCACCAAAACTTTTCGTGTGAATCTATCATATAAAATTGACAGTACCCTTGGCTACTTACTTGTTCCAAATATTCATACTTTCCCCTGCCCTTCCTGCCCTCCTTATTTAACAGCTACTATCATAATAATAAATACTTTATTGCTTCATCAGCAACCTAACCTAATTGGTCAAATATTTGTACTTTCTCATAACTCTTCAGGACAATAAGTTTTTTTGTGTGTCAATAATTTTATGATAATTACTTCCTAAATCTGTTTTTATTTTTAGAAAATAACTTCTCCAAATAAATTTTCTTTGAAACCTTGAAATCATCAATAAGCAAATATAGAAATATTTTTAATCTGATTGTGTTTTTAGTGCTATATCTGAACCTTCTCCTTAAAGAATTTTGTCATTCGTATGCAAATCAGGCTTTAGATGGTAACATAGAAATCATATCAGTAACCCATATTATAACCCAGGGAATGTTTAATTGGAGGACTAAAAGTTAAAAAAGCAAGGAAGCAAGAAAGCAAACAGAGTTAATAACTGCAGTAAGTTTCTTCCACTAGTATGACTTTGGGCACTGAGTAGAATTCGGGCATATTAAAATATAGAGGCTTGTAATTGTATTCCCCTAGAACTAACACTTGCACCTATAATGAGAGAATTTTGATCTTTTCATTCTGGTACCTGAACAGCTCAGAGGGTAGAACACCTAGAGTTAAGACCCAACCTCTGAGGGTTAAGCACTTCCCTCTGGAGCTTACTCCAGGAGCAAGAGGAGGACTTCTCATGGAGTTGGAACTCAAATTTTTAGAACTGATCTACTGGTGGTTTGCTCCATTCTGAAGGGGCATGTTGGGACAAGTGCTAGAAGTATAGGAGAGTGTAACACTACAAACTGGAACTAATCCAACTTAGTAAGAACTATTGTAAGGCAATGACAGGTGCAGTAAGCAAACATAATGGATATACTTGTCTCTTTAGCATCTTCCAGTCTTCCTTCTAGTATCTTCCAATCAGCAGTATATGTGGGGAACTGATAAACTATGTGATTCATCAGTTTCAGCCTTCTTTCATAAGCTGAGAGTCTGTAGAATTGTTGTTTTGGAGCTGGAATACAGTAGCTTCACAACCAGCATGATGGGGTATGGGGCTTATAACATGATTAAGATCACTGTGAATATGACAGCAGTTTTATTAGATGCTCCAACCTGGGATTTAAATAATAACAGCAGTAACCATTAATGATAGCAAGCCAAGTGCTTCTGCGGTTCATCAGGTATTATTAATTATAATCTGCTGGAAAACCACTAGTTGACAAATTTCAGGTCTTTTTTGGAGGCATTTTCTCTCCTTTCTAGCAAATCTCTAGTTTTCCTATCACAACCCCATCTCCTTTTCAATGGCCAGCAGTACAGATCCAGGTCATTAAACATATTGAAAGAAGTTACCATACTTTATATACAACCAGAGATATGAAAAATTGTGCTGTATACGTGTAATAAGAATTGTGATGCATTCTGCTGTCATTTATTTAAAAAAATCAATAAAAAAAGAAATAATCCATTTACTGGTTACCTTGTGCTTTACCTTGTGGAATGCAGATTAGAAATTTGCCTTTCTAGCCTTCCAGGAACTAATAGTCTGGTCTAGAAGCAAGAGTAATACCCAAATCTTTTGTAGAATCTTAATGCTAAAACTGAAGTTGCCGAAGTCCTACCAAAAATCTTCAGAAAGGGTTACAAAGTTGTAGGGAGAAATTTACATTTAAATGAATCCAATAGCATAGACTTCATTGATTACTATAATACAATGTTAAAATTGGATTTTTTTCTATCTGGTTATGGCTGAGGCAGGAAAACTATAGATACTAAATTACAATTTGAGTTGTAAGATTATCAAAATAGAAGATAGGTCAAATGACTGTGAATATATAATTCAGGAAAGAACTGAAGAAATTATTGCAGGTATAAAGAGAACAGACTAAAAAGTGAAATATAAGACTGTCTTTGGCTATCAATCTGTATACCTAAAGGGGAAGTTGGATTACACATATAGAACAGTCTTCTTGGCCTACCTTAGCTCTAGCTCAGGTAGCAGGGAGAGTTATTGTTTTTGAATGAAGATGCAAGTGTTAATTAGTTTATCAAACTGGATTCTTGCAATTTCTATATTGAAAATGTATTTTCCGACCCAAAGTAGGACTTTCTATTTCTAAGCATAAGCATAAAATTTATATTGTTTGCCAATATTTTCAACTAGGGTCAAGAAAGGTGTTTTCCACTGGAATAACTATAATGAGAGAGGAAGAAAAAAGAAACTGCACTTGCTTTAAGGAAAGTGTCCCATGCATAATGTATATTCATCACCATTGGGTACATTATAAAATACAGTCTTTTACTTTCAAGCAGATCATTTACAAGGTGATATTGCTCATGAGGCATCAAATGGTCTGTTTAATAGCATTTGCTAAAATGTTTGCTTACAGTCATTAAATATTTATAAATAGAAAATATGAAACTTTTACTATTTAAAAAGAAAATTTTATGGCCATAGTTGGAAAAAAAATAAACAACATATCTGTATTTTCCTTTAACTGCCTGGCTCAGTACCAGGTTCCTGGTAACCCTATAAAAAGTTTCCAAGCCTCTTTAGCATTTGTAGTGATCAAGAAGTCATAGAATAAAACACTTAACTGTCATGATATAGCTAATAAATTAACAAAGATTTAAGTAAAACATCATAATATTGCTAAGTGTAGATGAGCAGAATATACTTGTGAGAAGTTAGTGTGAGTGTGAACTGAATAGCTCTCCTGGAAGGTAAAATGGACAATGGAATAGGTATTAGCAGTTGTTAAGTTGTTATTTTGTTCAGAAATTCTAATTAGAGAAATGTCAATGAAAATTAAGATATGAAAAAATTAATAAAGATGCTATTCACAGTTGGATTATTCATTGGGCATGAAAATTGGAAAGGGCCTAAATGAATAATTTAGGAAAGTGTTTTCTTATGAAAACATTATTTTATAACTGAAGAAGAAATCAATATTTACAGCTGATTCCCTTTCTGAGTATTAACCAAAGCTGTATGGAGTTTCCACATGCACAGCAGAACACCTTCTTTTTGTTCTCAAGTCCTTTCTCCAACGGTTGGCCAATACAAGAGGACCAGCCCCTTGCTTTGACAGGTCTGAAGATCATTCCAGCTCTGGGGCTCCCATGGGACTTCTGAGGCCTCTAAGTAAGAGGAAGACAGCATTTCCTTCTACCCAATGAGGTCTCCCTTTACTCTCTTATAGATGCTATTCCAGAAGTACACTCTATTAAGTCTTCTGCACACAAATATCCATTTCACATATGTATGCATGGCTGCAAGTTATGTGCAAATCAGATCAAAGGCTCAGTATTTCCCTTTTGTTTACCCCCCCCCCCCCATTCTGTTTCCCTTCCTTTCCTAGGAAGTGCTTGCTAGAGATCAACACTATTCTGAAAGTAGTGAACATCATTTCCTTGAAAGCTTTAAAATTTTTGTTGAGTACATATACATGAACACACACACACATTAATATACAGATTGTTTAAAGATTTTAAAGTCAAATAAATGCTTGTTCATTTCACTCTATTTATTAAAACTATTTTGAGAGTGTATATATTGATATCCATAATATTTGTAACATGAAGTATGGCTTTTAAAATGTGAATAAGATCTTATGTTAGAAACATATCACATTTTAAAAAATAGTCTTCCTGTTCACAGACACTTAACTTGTTCCCAATCTTTTGCTGTGAACAAAAAATCTTATTAAATATATTATCTAAAGCTTTCAAATATTTACTATAAACATCTCTCTGTTTCATATGTAAGTTAAGCTCTCTGGAAGTTAAATAAAAAATAAAAAACAGAAGTTGGCGTTTATGTAGAAAATATGAAGTCATGTCATGTTTTCAAAGAAGGATATTGTTATTTAGGTGGTGAAGAGTCTGAGAGCCAAGCAGGTGATGATGTCCTAACCCAATTACAGGAAACTACCACCAACCTCCTGGATGGAGACTTTTTGGTGTTATTGGATCTCAGGGAGATAGAAGGGAGGAACACGGGAAAAATGTAACACTGCCAGAGAAGCTACCCAAAGCACAGAGGGGCATGGAGAAATTCCTATGCCTTGATTTGCCCTCAGTCTTATATTAATATCTTCCAGGGGCCAAAACCTAGTTGGAATACAATTAATATGGAAAACTGAAGGGTTGGTTTTCATTGAGATATGTGCAGACTTGAGTAAGAAAAAAAGGACTTGAGAGCAAACCTATTCAAGGTAACCACAGTACACTCTTTTTATTACTATTTATCAAATATATTTGATAGCTTTATGATTCAATCCAATAGATATCAGGGATTCACAAACACACACACACACACACACACACACACACACATACACACACAAAACCACCCAGTTTTTCTCTACAAAAAGTAGAGATGAGAAAGTCTTCAAGCATAGTGTTTATTGGGAGTACAGGATCTCCAAGTGATAAACAAATTTTCCAAGCTTTGGGCAGTGATTCTTGCACACTGATGACATATGTAATAGATTATGAAGTTAAGCAGTACTAGCATTCC